CCGAGCCCGGAAACCCTAAACCCTAAACCCTAAACCCTAAACCCTAAGGCCCACCGGTGACGGCAGCGGCGGCACCTGGGGAGCGGCCTGGCTCGCGCAGCGCATCAGGGCAGAGGTGAAGGATGCAGCACTTAGGGTTTAGGGTTTAGGGTTTAGGGTTTAGGGTTTAGGGGTTAGGGGTTTAGGGTTTGGGGTTTAGGGTTTAGGGTTTTGGGCTCAAGGGGCTTACGGAAACGCTCGCTTTGGCTTTCTCGAGCTGCCAGCTGCAAGGATGGCCTCTGAGCGTGTGTAACACACGCTCCTGTTTCGGTCGGCTGCAAAACTGGGCGCCTGGAAAAACTGCTGGCACCTCCTACTTGGGGGTTTCCGTTTTTAGGGGTACCTTATTGAGATACTGATTACAAGAGGATCCTACCATTTGGGTCTACTTTAGGGGTCCCCTATTTTGGCAAACCCCTGCTTCATTCGAGATCCGAGATCGAAGATGCCCTCGAGATCCATCGAGCTCCATGCGCTTTGAGCGCAGGGTCGCTGGCCAAGTGGCGCGTTTGCGGGATCGAGCCCGACCTGAAGCCTACCTGAATTTGCGGGTGAGGCCCAAGAAATAAGAGAGTCCCGTGCCGGGGGGGACTCTCCTTAAATGATCCTTAAATGCAACATCTATCTATTCTCACTGAGCGCGGCCAGATCGTCAATTGGACTGATCGCCAGCCGGGCATCCGCACAAGTCCAAACGGTGCAGCCTGCCGGTCCTGCAAAACACTGGGCAGAATAAGAACATTCTGGCTCATTCTGGCTTGGAATCTTGATCAACACACGCTTCCTTCACCTGCTCTACATCCCAAGTGGTGGCTGCTGCGGAGCCTTCGCTTTTGCAGCGCCTCTTCCGTGTCACTCTCCTTTTCTTGCTTGTTTCAGCCTTCGGTGGATCTGGCGTCGTGCCAGCCTCTGTGTCTCCATGGTAGGCCTCAGGAAGCACCACAAGCTCCGACTCCGCATTGTTCGCATCAACCTGCCCAGCATGCTCGCAAAGCTCTCGAGGCATCACAGGCTCCACATTGCGAAACTGTGGGCGCCGCGCATGGTCCTCTTGTGGCCCAGGCTCGTTGAGATCCATAACGTCCTGGAAGTTGACCGATAGCCAAAGCATTCCTCCATACCACGGGCCATACACGTTGCGCAAGACTTCGAGCAGCTTCTTCCGGTAAATCCTCCCGAACCGCTGTGTAAAGTAGAAGCTCGGAAACGGGAAATGTCTTTTGAAGAGCAGCCGTGCTGCAGTCTCCTCGGCTTGTTGTCAAGCACAAGCTATGACTATGGACTTATAGAATGTAGGCATTTGCTCATCGAAGGTGTACCGGTTACGGTCGGCGGTCAGAAAATACAACTAGTTGTTGACCATTGCCAAGTCTCACTGCGCACCTCTTCCAAATTCACAAGGCCCGCAAGATTGTTGAGAAACCCGAACAAAGTCAGCCACTGCATCTCGTCCCATTCTGTTATCAGGGTGCCTGCTGTGAAAGCCGTGGTGCTAACTTTGAGGATCATCGACGCCACACCAATAACCGCACCGAAGATAACAGAGGCCACCTCGGCGGCAAGAAGCCACCCTCTTCCCTTTTGATGGGCAAAGTTCACCCTTGCCATGAACTCCTCGGGGTTCGCAAGCCGAAGGAGCCTCAGCGCGGAGAAGTCAGCCATCTGGTGTATGAGCTCCACTCTTCGTAAACGGTTCTCAGGTTCTCCAGGTTCTCCATGTAGCCCGAGGAAGCGAAGAAAGTCGCGAATACAGTCACAGCTCTCGACCTTGCGCAAGAAAGGGATGTCCGGGATGTTGAGAAGCACGGTGTGGAAACCCCACCACAACACGAAGAAGCAAAGTCCCGAAAATTCCAGCCAAGCTAGAAGATGCCTGGTTTGATTCATTGGCTCATCTGGATCTCTGGGCGGCAAGCTTGCCAAAGAATATGTGAAAAAACAAAAGTTGAGAATCACGCGGACGAAAAGCCGGAAAATGCGGAAGCATCTTTCAGGCATCAGCTTCGGCTTCTCGCGATCACCGAAAACCTTCTCAACGTCGTTCATCGGACACGCACTAAAATAGACATCGTCATGATTCTCGGCGCGCGCCACGTGTTCCAGGACCATGAGGAAGGTCAGATAGGGGACAATGATCACAAACATCACGCTGGCCAGACCAAGGCTACTCAAATACCACTCATTGGTACCATCCTTGCGAACCCACTGACCATCCACCGCGTACCCTGCCCAAAACATCGCAAGCGCAGGGGCTACGCCCAAGCAGCTACCCATCAGAAAACCGCGCCTCACACGCTTCCACAGTTTGGCAGAGCTGTCGGCCTTCAGCTTTTTGCGTAAGAGTCGGACAGCCAAGCCTAGCTTCTTCATCTTGAGCTCTCGGGAATACAAGTCTGAGCATGCGGACGCCTGGGACGGAGCGCGGTCAGACACCATGGCAAGCGCCTTGGGTGTTTCCAAGCCGGCAGCCTTTAGAACCGCTCCGGATGTCTTCCATGACTTGCTGAGACGCATGCCTGCTTAGACTATGTCTGCGTGCACTAGTCAAAGGTGCGTGGAATGCAGACAGTATTGCTGACTGGAAGCATCTGTTGCGTTTACCTATCGAAACGTTGCTGTCCCAGCGGATTTGGGCCTGTGCTGGAGCGCAGTGCGGCAGTCGATGGGAGCTACTAAAGGCAGCACGCAAGAAGACTGGTTGAAAGCATGACCTGATCTTGCAAGTTTGCTGGGGGGCACATCCGGCTGCGAACAACTTTAATGCCGGACCTTTGTCCTGGTCCTAAACCCTAAATCCTAAACCCCAAACCTCAAACCTCAAACCCTAAACCCTAAACCCTGCACCACTAAGCCCGAATCTCCCTAAAGGCCCCTAAACCTTCACGCCTCAATCTGCGGTCCAGCAGACCGTCACGCCCAGCAGCGACGCGGGCGCCTACCTGGCATCTCACGGGCTTTTGGTTTAGGGTTTAGGGTTTAGGGTTTAGGGTTTAGGGTTAGGGTTTAGGGTTTGGGGTTTAGGGTTTGGGGTTTGGGGTTTGGGGTTTGGGGTTTGGGGTTTGGGGTTTGGGGTTTGGGGTTTGGGGTTTGGGGTTTGGGGTTTGGGGTTTGGGGTTTGGGGTTTGGGGTTTGGGGTTTGGGGTTTGGGGTTTAGGGTTCCTTTCGCACTGTCTGGCTTTCGGCATTGTGGCTTTTGAATGTTTCAGGAGCTAGGGCATCTGGGCTCAAGATTGATAAGTTCGGGCTAAACCCTTGAACTCCACAAGTCTACAAATGTAGGTGCTGGAATCTGCTAGCCTGGCCGGGAAGGCTCCTGGGGCCTTGGCAGTACAGGAGTAGACTTGCCCGTGCTGCGCGTAGTTTCGAGATGTTTTCAACGCAAGGCGCAAGGAGGCTTCCGATAAACTCGCCAACGCCCCAACACCCATTGTGGTAGAGGCAAAGGCTCGTCGGAAACTTCGGGCTGGGGGTCTGGTTTAGGGTTTGGGGTTAGGGTTTAGGGTTTAGGGTTTAGAGTTTAGGATTTAGGGCTTAGGGCTTAAGGCTTAGGGCTTAGGGCTTAGGGTTTGAGCGACCAAGCCTTTACGCCCCTGGACATGAGCCTCACACCTTCCTCCGAAGCGGAAGGCCGCTGCCGTCCGTGCGCCGGAGCACGGCCGATCTGGCATCCGAAAACCTCGGCGTGTGGGGTTGAGGGTTTAAAGCTTAGGTTTTGGGGTTTCGGGTTCAAAGCATATAGGTTTTGGGACTTAGGCTTTATCTGCAATGGGTGAAGAGGTGCAAAGATCTCTTCCGCCGAGGGCCTTCGCGGCTTTCTCGGCGCGGCTTGAAGGAATCAAAAGCCCTGCGCCTAGAAGGTTTCGGGTCTAAAGCTTAGGGTATGATCTGTACGGCTTGGAAAAAGGACCATTGACACATCAGACTTCCATGGCAAAACGAAGCGAGGCTGACACACATCGAAACGCGCACCAGGCAGGGATAGCTTGGACGAAGCCTCTGACAGAGGAACAGAAACTCCCGCTAACCTCCAAAATCACATCTCTCAAACTTGCCAGTAGGTAAGCAGCCCGATGCATCGAAATTCCCCTTCTTTCTCTTTACACATCTTCGGCCACATCGAGTCTTCGAATCCCCTTCAGAGTTGCAATTTGTTGCGGCAAAGGCGCTGTGCCCCACAGCTTTTCGCAAGCATCCCTGCAATCCCTACGCCCTACTCAGAGCCCGACTCACCCACTCTTGAAACAGGCTCCGACTCCCCAAAAGTGCTCGCCCCCAACCCGCCAATGAGCCAAAGCTGCGGGGCCTTGTGTCACGGCCAGATCCGAATGTGCGCGCCAAGTCGTCCCCAAAGGACTCCCCACTCTTGGGTCTCATGTTCTCTGGCATCAGGAGGGTCGGAACGTGCAAGGCCGGGAGCAAAACTTCTCATTGAAGATGCGCGCATGCCAGAACTATCACAGCGCAGATGCCACGCAATGTAGGAGTTCCGCACATCGCAAGTGTCACCCTCCGGGGGCGGATCCAAGGAGTTCCACGTCAAAACCGCTGAAGGCAAATCCTCCTAAAACGGGCGTATGAAGCGAAGCCCTCGAAAAGACAGGAAGTATGTCCCTGCCACGAGCCCACGCCCAGGCCAGAGTGCGATGTAGACACAACACGAGAGGCTGTGCCGCAACAACCGTGCGCTAGACAATAGACAAGATCAGCAAAGGAAACGCCCCAGAAGCGAGCCATGAAATAAACTGCTGCCCCTGTTCCTCGGTCGTCAAATGACTGCGGCAGCTGTTTTCCGCTCAGCCTTTCTGGTCAAAGCTCTGGGGATGCCCGCGCTACTTTTCGCATAGGAACGCGCGCGGGCTACAGTTGTGAGGATCCTGCTGTCTTCCACATGGGAAGAGCAAGATGCCTAAAGCAACTGGCAAAATCACAAAACAAGGCACTTCTAGCTGGCAGTCCGTAAGTCAGTTGGCTGGTCTCGTCTGACCACGAAGATCGATGACCTCAGAGCAACACTACGAGTGACGCAGCAGCAGTTGACAGCAGGATCCACATCCAATGAACCATCCATACACCCCATTCCAGGCCATGTGGAATCCCACAGCCGCAGCACTGTCCAGCCCGAGCACCCTAAGCACCCTGCCTCCAGCACGCGAATGTTAGCCGAATTTGCCAGGACGCACCACTCCGGGTTGCTTGACAAACTGGTGCCTCAGGCACGTGCTTGCTACTTTAGACCCTAACCCAGTGCCCATTCTTGACTGCGATCGAGCTGTTGCCTGTCCAGCACTGAGCGCTGCTCGCGTGGCACGGCACGAATCATGCCCCCTGGCATGCATCACCGCACTACGAGTTACACCGCAGCTGCAATAGAAGTCAACCGAGTGGAACATGAAGCAGCAAGTTCATGGACAAGGAGCTTAGCACAAACTTCTGACAATCTCCCATCGCACCTGGTCCTCCAGTCTTTGTTGTCGCCTGTGCTGTAGTAGGGATTGTGCACGGTGATGCTGCACCTGCACAGTGCTGATCGTCCACATGCATCAGGACGCAAGGCTCTCCTTGACTCCTTGAAGAAACCGCCCAGCTAAAACAAAAACTCAAATCTCTGAGCATGCAAACCCCCACAACCCGAGGTGCAGAACCACATCGCCTCACTACAGCCGGCTCACCATGGCCGAAGTCGAAGCCGAAGCGCTCGGCCTGAGCTGGGCTTGCTTGGACACATGCCACAACAGACTCGTCGGGTTGAGGGTGTGCGTGGGCTTCACCGCTTTGGAAGGAGGCTTTTGCTACAAGTAGGATGAAGTGGAAGCGTGTGAGCTCACGGCCCACTTCTTCACATGTCTTTTGTCGCGCTGCAGCTGGGTGTGGGCTTGAGCGGCTAAATCAACCACAAGGTGGACTTGGCCCGGGGATCAGATTTGAAATCCCACATCCAACTTGAAGCAGGTTCAGACTACGACGTCTTCTTTGCTGGCACGGGAGCACACACACACAAACCAAGTTCAAACGCCTGCAATCTGACACCAGATCCCATTCTCTCCCGTGTCCAACCAGAAAAACCGAGCTGCCATTCAAACCGCCCCCCTAGATCCTGCTCGGCAGCACCTTGCGGCGGGCCGCAAAGTAGGCCCCGTCTCCCAGGCAATGGTCGGCACTGGGCCTGGCCTCAGTCCAGGAAGCCACTTCTTGGCAGCCGACTGCCAAACACATGAGCGCAACTGTTCATGAGACTCCGCTTTGTGAGGTGTGCTCGTTGAGTGGAGAACTTGTGGGCTGTACCGTTGTGTGATGTCGCTGCTTTGGTTGTTCAGTGTGAAGCCGCCACTACGTGGGTTACATTCGCGTGACACTGTTTCCCCTCGGCTGGCCCACAAGGGTTCAATTCTGCGCCGATCAACTGGGCACACCGACTCTTGACGGTTTCTGCTGAGCTGAGTGTGTGATGCGAAGTATAGTTGCATCTTGCATTTTGTTGCGAAACGCCAAGACCATGGGGTGGCAGGTTCTTTTGCCACAGTCACTCACTCACTCACTCACTCACTCACTCACTCACTCACTCACTCACACACACACACACACACACACACCAAAGAACAAACTGGACCATCTGGGCTCCAGCTCGAAATTGGCCCGTGCGCCTGGGTGCTCGCCGGGACGCTGACACTACAGATCAAGATGCATCACGACATGCGATGCGGGAAAGGGCTGGGCTGGATCTCCATGGCATTGGAATAGCTGGTGCCTGGGTTCGCAGTGGATGGCCAGTCCAGCAGGGTGGGGGTCTACTTCCGTGCAGATTCTCCTGCCGTGCAGCCAAGATTCCGTGCCAGACCTCGATGGTCTGTCCAGCCCCGCCCTCTGGAAGGTCCTTTGGGATGTTTGGGTTTCGGGTTTAGAGTTTAGGGTTTTAGGGTTTAGGGTTTAAGGGTTTAGGGGTTCAGGGGTTTAGGGGTTTAGGGGTTTAGGGGTTTAGGGTTTTAGGGTTTTAGGGTTTAGGGGAGCGCCTTCCGGATTCTTGGAGGAAGCGAACGAGCCCGGATCGAACCACCAGCTTGAAGTGAGTTTTAGCCACGGTGGGAAGGCCCAGTCGGAAAGGTTGAGAAGAGGTCTCTGCAGAATCTGTTGATGAAGAAGCGATTATCCCACTGCAAACCTTAACATCATGCCCAAACATATTGTGTATTTCCGACTAACCTCCTCCGAGGCCCTGCACTGACGAGTTGATTGCTTTGTTGGGTGTTCGCGTTTTGGGTGGAGAAACAAGCTACCTTATTGGCTTTCTTCACCGGGGTAGGAGCAGGGGAGGCTGAGTTCAAGTTCCAGTCACTGGCCGCGACATGCTGACTCAAAAAGCTAAGTTGGCCACACATCGGGCTGTCGATTGCTCGGCTGCGAGGGTGGCCCAGCATCGCGACCTTGCAGGTTCTTTTCTGCAGGGTACACCTCTTTTTCGCGCTGTCGCTTTCAGCACGCTGTGCCATGAGCAGAAGACTGCATAAGACAAGCAAGGCGGCGTTCTGGCAATCCTCCCGGCAACGAGGTCCCAGCATTCGCGACCGCAGAAGTTGCCTTTGCGGTTCTTCCATGCACCCTTCCCACAGGCTGGGCGAATGCAAATCGCCATTTGTACCGAGATGGCGCAGGCGGGGCACGCAGAGCCAAAGCAGCTGCGGCGAGCCGTACTGCTTGTGCTTGAGTCCAACTATGGCGCAATTGAATTGCGGCCTTGTCTGAAATGGATGGGTGCCGGAATGCAACATGGTTAGGAGCGAGCACTGCGACAGAGATGGACGGGAAAGAGAAAGAGAAAGAGAAGGAGAAAAACAGAGAGAGAGAGAGAATGCCACACGACTCTCTAGGTGGACAGCGAGCTCGAGCTCGCCCTGTGCATTTTCAAGGACAGCAGCGAGAGGCCGTTCCCGGGCGAGTCTCAAAACTGCTTACATGTTGACTCTGCTCACGTTGCACTCCATGACACCATGACACACACTTGACTCGGTTTGGCAATTTCTCCAGCATCACACTATTCTTGAGGAAACGCCGGAGTGCAAAATAGAATGTAGCACTGCGCACACGTCCACCCGATCCACATGGGACCAGAGTGTCACAGTCTGCATACTCACATGAACCCGGGAGCCTCGATCCTTGTGAACATTTGAGGCTGCTGGATTGGCCCTACACTGGCCCCACACCAAACACACAAGTTTCAACTACCCAAGCCAGTCGAAACGGCGTGCTGATGCCCTTGGAAATGGCGACCTTCTTGGGTTCTGCTTCGATTCCTCAGGCCTTAGCTGCGGAAACTGGGTGCAACAAAAGTCATAGTAGTATTTCGAGAAGTGGTAGTCGTCTTAGTCGTCGCAGTGGTATTGGTAGTAGTCCGCCCACCCCGTTTTGCGTTTTGGGGTCCAGCGCTGAAGGGGGGAGGGGGGGAGGGGGGGGGGGGGGGGGGGGGGGGGGGGGGGGGGGGGGGGGGGGGAGGTAAGATGGACACTTAAAGGCTATGCTGCACGTGCGTGCCTTGTAAACAAATACTTTACAAAGGAAACACCCGCAGAATAGACGCAACGCACCCGCAGAATAGACGCAATGCACCCTTAGCATCAGCACACTGTGTCCCGGGCGGGGGCGCGGAGGGCGCGGAGGGTGCGGAGGGCGCGGAGGGCGCGGAGGGCGCGGAGGGCGCGGAGGGCGCGGAGGGCGCGGAGGGCGCGGAGGGCGCGGAGGGCGCGGAGGGTGCGGAGGGCGCGCGGAGGGCGGAGGGCGCGGAGGGCGCGGAGGGCGCGGAGGGTGCGGAGGGCAGGGGCGCGGAGGGGCGCGGAGGGCGCGGAGGGCGCGGAGGGCGCGGAGGGCGCGGAGGGCGCGGAGGGCGCGGAGGGCGCGGAGGGCGCGGAGGGTCCACGTGTCCCCACTCCCTTGCCCGTCAACGGAATGTCACGCTCCCATCCGTGCTCCCCCCCCGAACCCGCGTCCGTCAACCTCCAGGCATGGTCCACGCCTCCCCACGCCACCCCTCTCCCAGCAAAATGTTCCGAACCCCCTCCCTTGACCGTGTCGTCTCCGCGGCCTCCCGTCAAAATGTTGACCGTCTCCTCTTCGTGGCCTCTTTCGCCAAAAAGCGATCCGGTAGAACGCCTTCCGCGTTGAAGCGCCAAACGAGAACCCAAGAACAGAATTGGTTTTCGGGAAGAATCCAAAAAAACAAAGAGCACGCGCAGAATAGACGCTAAGCGTCCAAGGCACGGGGGGGGGAGGGGAAAAAATTAGTAAAGAGAGGTTTCAGGGGTTTAGGCCACAGGCCTCTGGGGTCAACTTGTATCCTTACTCGTTTTTCATCACACATTTTCACACATCATTCTCATCGTCATCATCTTCTTCATTCTACATCATTATCTCCCCCTCATTCGTTTTATGCTAGGGGTTTCTGGGGTTTTATCATAAATTTCCTAAATTTAAGTCCTTTTACCCTCATTCATTATTTTCATCATAATTTCAGGGATTATCATAATTCCTAGGTTTCTGGGGTGTTTGACCCTCTAGCGTTTTATCAAATATTCATAATAATTTTTATTATGAACGTTTGTTGCGGGGTTTTGTCTTGAAGGTTATATTTTTATTAATAGTGTTGCAGGATAATAATCAAGTTTAATATCATACTTTTTCAAAATGTTTCCGTTTCATATATTTCAAAATCTTGTTTAAATCTCTTGTTACAGCTTCAAAGCTTATGTTATTAATTCTGCATGTGTATTTTGTGCTTTCGTCATTGTTATCTATAAAATCCCAGTAAAAGATTTGATACAAAATTCCATATCTTTTTCGTGATAGTTTTGTTAGTAAGAATTTTTTTAAGTTATCATATGGAGGAAATTCATACAATACTCTGAAAAAGAAGTTGACCCTGTTAAGTTTTGATTCATGTGTTTCTGAAAACTGGATTTCTTTTGATAACTCTTCACATTTACAGCAGGGTTCATAGTTGTATTTACAAATGTTTTTAATTAAATTGCGTGGTAAGTTTAAATTATAAAGGAGCAAGTTCTCGTCATTGAATTTACAAAATTTGCATTTACTCATGTTACGATTTATTTGTTGTAAAGCTTCGTTTGCTGTGTTATCCATTTCGGTTTCACTTACGGCATCTTCCTCTTTTGCATACGGCATATGTTCCTACTATTAAATGGTCGTTTATCTTTAAGTCTATTTTCAATTATTATAATCATCAAATACATCATTCAAATAATCTTTTAATTCATCATTATCAATATATTTTTCATCATAACTTATTAAGTCATTTAAATATTCATAAACAATTAATTTACATAACCATTTATCAGCATATGTATTTTTATAATAACTACATCTCATTGTTAGTATGTTTGAATTAATTTGAATAAATTCTGTTAACCATTCCTTATTATGTAAATTTCTAATAATCATACAGAACTGAAAAGTTATTATCCTGTAACAGTTTCTCACATATGATTTTAATACTTTCTTAAATGGACTGTTCCCTCTATCAATAATTTTTTTCAATTGGTTTATTTCCCTTACTATGCTTCTATCATATTCATTATATCTAGATAAGTTAGTGCTTTTGAAATACTGTATTTGTTGTTCAATCTTACTTAAATGCTCGTTGTGTTTATTCTCTACTTCTTTTGCTCTCATATCGCCACAATAATTACAACAATCATATGAAACGATTTTATCAGTTAAAACTTCAGGTAATATTTCATATAAGATTATTGATTTTGTATTTCTAATCTTTTTACACACGTTGCACTTGCTATAATCTAGGATGGTCATAGTTCCTACTATTCTAGGTCGGTCTGTCTTTAAGTAGATACTAGAATATTATAAAGTTTAATTGTTTATAATATAATAGTTAGTGTCTCCATTCCCCCACTCCATGCCAACATTCGCTAATTTGTTCTTTTATTGGATAAAATATTTCTACTTTTTCATCATGTTTCATATCTTTATTTTCAAAAATATCTTTCAATATCTCAATTATTGTATAATAATTGGATTGCATTACAAGAGCACCACCTCTATTATATATCTTCTCACCGTTTGTTTTTATTAATTTTTCATCCATTATATTTTCATATATTTCTTTCATCCATTCGTGGTTCGGTTGTCCATACTCACTGAAAAGATTAAGATAATGAATAGCAAATTCTTTATCATCACCTTCTCGGTATTCA